GGTCTTCCTATGCCTAAAGTGCAGTCCGTTATATCTCGGTCTGCAATAATGGCCTTCTCATGCCAATGGGAGCTTCATTTCACTCCTATTTGCCTCCCATAGTGACCCCTCCTACTTCGATTTTCTCCCGGAGGGCTATTTTTCACATGGAGTCTCTTTTGACTTTATTTTCTTGAGGGAGGCTGATCCGAAATTTTTCGGATTGTTGTTCCCATGTTTTTGCAAATAGAAAAGAAGGAATCATGTTCAGTGCTAAATCAACATCTAGTTCCTATTGCTGCCTTGTGCCTCAGCTTGCTTGATTCTTTGCCCACCCTGTTTCTCGGCAGACTTTCTAACCCCCAGACCGAAGGTCTCGATTTCCCTCATTTTCTTCGCAATTTTCTGTAGTTCCGCCTCATTGAAAAAGTCCAAAAGCGTGGCTTCTATCCCTGCCCTTGCGAGGTCTCGGGCCATGATGATCCACTCGTGTCTGATCACATTGGTCCATTGCTGAAACCAATGACTGGGTGTTGGCCCAAACTCATCCTCCCATCTGAAGGCCTCATCGCGCGACTGGTGCATCGGAGGCCGCCTCTCTTCCCTAGGCCTGGAGATTTCATCCCTCTCATCCCCACTGTTGATTTCTATGATCTCTTGCACATCCTCCTCCTCGTCCTCCTCGTCGTCCGTCTGTATGGGGCTATACCCTCCTGCCAGATTCTTAGGATCGTAAGTAAAAGGAATCTCTGTCCCTGTCCCATATCCTTCACAACTGTCGTGCCCGCTTCGCCCTTCAGGCGGGCTTTCCCTTCTTTCCTCGCCCTCCTCATGGTCGTTGTGCACGTCCTATCCCCCCTCGCTTTCCCCATGCCAAATCTCACGTCGTTCACCCCTGTTGGCTCCTTTCTCGCCAGAAGCCTGAGCCTTATCTCCCATATCTGCATTTCCCCCTTCTCCTACATTTTCCCTTTCCTTCTCGCCCTCACTATCAGATGAGATTTCTATATCTTCTCCCTTGCGGAGGGGCGAGGGTCTTGTACATACGTACTTTTTTCCACCCCTGCCTACCACCAGCCCGCCCATGAATGCTATGTACAACTTTCTGTTCGTCGTCCTCCTCCCCTGGCTTGGTCCTGCTTCTTCCCCTCCGGTGGACTTGTTGATTGCCCCGTTGTCGTTCTCGTTGCCGAATTCCATTTTTACTTTTTCTTGTGTTTTTCTTCTAGGTCTTGTATAACAAAACAACACCTGCAAAAACCCCTCATACACCCGCTTCCCTAGTCCGGTAGGCAGTTCCCTTTTTTTCTCAGAATGCTCTAAGTACCCTTCGTATCATGCCCCCTTTTTATGCATTTCCCTCCCTTATGCAAATGCGCCCCTTGAAATGAACTCATTGTTTCCCTGTAAAAAACTATGATACAATACCCCCGACAATCCTTTATGTCGTCACACAAAACCTGTTATCGCAAAATCCCAAGTCATCCTGGCTTTCATCCTCAGTCAGTCCAACCAATTGCCCCAACCAAAAAAAAAAAAAAAAAAACCGTCCCACGAGTGCAGTCAGAGATTGAACCAATAGTGTGGGCATGGTCGTTGTCAGTTCTTAACTTGTTGCCCCTCAGTTTCCTTATCCTCGGTCTCCTGTATCCTTTGCTCCACTAGGTCCCGACTTAGAAACCTGACCAATCCTTGCCCCGAGAAGGGTCCTTTCAATCCAGTTCCATCCAAATCTTCTAGTTCGAACGTGTTCAGTCTCACCTGCTTGGCAACCCGGTAGAGGCCTTTGAACCTCTTCCCCAGTTATCCAGACCAAGTACTTTCTAGTGCCGAATTCCTTAGCAATACCATCTCCCCCACTTGAAGCGGTTCCTTTCTGACATTCTTAACTTGGTCCCACCTTGCTTTGTCCCTCATCCTGCTGTCTAGTACCCGGTTGGCGATGTCTTTCATGACCTCTTCGTTCTTAAGGACCTCTTGACACCGTGCCTCGATTAACTCTTCCGTGGTCATTCGCGGATCGTCATCTAGTCTGTTCCAGGTAGGTATCAAGGCTTCAACGGGAAAACCGATCTCTCTTTCGTACCAAAGTTCTGCTGGGATACATCCCGTTGTCCTCTTAGGTGTCATGTTCTCTGAAAAGATAGCCTGCTTGAGATACCTAGGCCAACTTCGTAGATAATCTGCTGCGAGTTTCGCAATCGTGTTCTTTAAGGTTCGGTGTCCTCTTTCCACAGGTGCATTGGCCTCCGGGTGATATGGCTCGATGAGTTTGATCGGTACGCAGAGTCTCTTAAGCATTCCCAATACTTATGGGTTTACAAATTTTGTCCCATTGTCCGCTATAAACCTTCTGACGAAAGGATGCCTTAAGTAGAAGTCTTCTATCCAGTCCGCTACACTTCTCCCTGTCTTTTTCTTGAGAGCGACCGCCTCCACGAATCCACTCAAGTTGTCTCGCGCATCTAGAATATACCTATACCCATCTGTTGATGCAGGCATGACTGCAAGGTCAAGGTGGACCAGATGTTCTGGCCCTAGCATCCGCGTAGGTCTAAGTGGCTCGAAGACACTCGCCGAGCTTCGTTCCTGGTAGATAAGGCATGTCTGGCAGTATATGGCGACCATGCCTGCCATGCCTGACCAATAATAAAGCGGCGCTATCTTTGCAAGAGTTCCTTTGGACGACCGGTGTCCTCCTGCGAATCTGTCATGCATTGCTTGGATGACGTCTAATTGCCTAGATCTTCTGCACACAACTCTTCTAGGCATAGCACCTTCTTCTCCGCGAATCTCCCTTGCCTTAGCGCTGACTTCCGTGGGTTGCTTGTTTCCTACCAGCAACAACCCAATCTCCCGAAAGATCCCTTCGTATATCTGAGCATAGAAAAACTCCTTCCCTCCCTAGTCCTCATCCTTTCTTTCTCGCACCTGGTTTACCATCCATCACAACTCTTTCCTTTCCCAGGATTCCACTGAGCTCATCATGGCTTCCCGGCCTCCCTCAACCGCCATTGCTATTAGCTCCTCCTTCGGTCCTACTATTGCTCCCCATGAATCTCTCTCCTCTTTACGACCTCGAGTGGTGACGGGTCCTTCTCTAAGTTCGGATACTACAGCAGGCGCCCCCTTCTCCAAAGTCCGGATCAACAGTTCTCCCGACGCGCATTCTTTGTCCATCATTTCGTTATCTACCGCAAGAGTTCCTCCCTTGAATTCAAGGAACATGTCTATGGGCTCTGCATCCTCCACCCCTTTGGGAGTGATGCAGACGCGACTCAGCCCATCCGCCTTGTTTCTAATTCCAGCAATCCGTTCGATCTTGTAATCGAACTGCCAGATAAATCATACCTGTGTACACTGGCACAGACTAACACAAGCACACACACACAAAGTAACATTCCCCAAAACTGTTATAGGCCTATAATCACTTTCGTCTGTGTCCGTCGAGTTTACACACAGACACACGCATAAAAGGACATAGTTAGACACACACAGACAGACACAACCACACACACACAACCAAACACACACAGACACAGATGCACACAACCACACTCACAAGAACAGACAGACACACACACACACAGGTACACATACACACAGACAGACACACACAACTACGCACACACATACAACCACACACACAAACACAGGCACACAGACAAACACATAAGGACAGAGGCATGAAAGTGGTCCCAAAAGTGTTTTAAGGCCTGCAAACCTCTTTGCCTTGCCTGCCACACACACACACACATACACAAATAACCACGCGCACACAGACACAGACGCACACACAGACAGACGCATTTAATCACTTTCGCCTGTGCTAGTCGTGTGCATGCAAGAACACAGTTAGACACACACAGATACACACATACACAGACACACAGACAAACACACGCATACATTGACACAGACACACGAAAGCACACACAGACAAAGTCACAGACACACACAACCACACATCGAAAAGTGTTCCCGAAACTGTTAAAGCCCAAGAAACACCTTTGCCGGAGGTTGCCCACATTCATTGTGTGCGCATGCATTCAATCCATGCACATGCACACACATGATTGGTTGATTAGTTGGTTGGTTGATTGATTGATTGATCCACCAGTAAGCTTGCTAAGGATGAAGTGATAAGAGGGTCAGCTAAGATTGTGGCACAATAAGTTAGAAGATAGTTTCTGAGGCTACTTTCTGGATAAGCTACCATTGACAGTGGGTACACGAGACAATGACATGGGGCGGGGGATGAGACTCGTTGGGAAGGGTGTAGTGTGAATTTTGGATGAAATGAGGATTGTGCTTTGAGACCGTCGGATCTATAGGCCTGTAGTTCTTCAAGGCCCCTGCGACATTCGTTGACATTCGTCGGATCGATCCTTAAGATGAATCGCCTCCCAAATAGGTAGGCCTGGAAGGTCTCGAGGCAATGTGAGATGGCCAAGACCTCCTTTTTGAACTGCGAGTACCGCCGTTCCGCGGAGTTCAAGGTTCTACTTTCGAACCTAATCGGTTTTTCTCTCCCTTCCTCATCCCGTTGAATCAGCACACCTCCTACGGCCAAGGGTCGTCCGTCCGTTTCTAGGATGAACGGTCGTCCTACTTCGTCATTAAAGCAAGGCACTGGCAAGGTGACTTGCTAAGATGTCAATATGTCCTTAAGGGTTTGGACAACTCCTTCTCGCTCCTCCGTCCAATCCATGGTTCCCTCTTCTCCGATCATGGCCCGGATAGGTTCGGCAATCATTGCAAAATTCTTAATGAAGATCCTCCAAAATCCGACCACGCCTAGGAACGCTCTTACCTCCGTTGTTGTTCGCAGGGGTGTTGGCCATTGCGATATCTTGTCTGTCTTCGCTAGATCCGGCTTCGTACCGTACACGCCAAAACGAAATCCCAATATGGTTACTTCCAGTACTGCTAGAATACTCTTTGGTTCACTAGTCGTGATATTGTATACTAGGAATCGGCGGAGTAAGTCCTTGATGTCTTGTAGATGGTCCCACACAAACCTTAGGATTCCCGGCTGGACTTCCGTCTCGTCCTTTTCCTGCGTGCCTTTGATCGAATTATCGTCGATGTAGGGCTCGCACTTCTCTGGAAACATATCTCCAGCTACGGCGAGCATCCTCCTTTGTGCATCGGCTACCGCGTTCGTAAAGCCCATAGGAGTCATCTGCATCTGCAACTGTCCTACGGGGGTGTGCATTGCGGTGTACGGCCTGTCTCGGACATCCAATGGAGGTTGGTCGTATCCTGAGTACAGACCGATCAGAGAGTAAATGCTGTGACCGGCGTGCGACTCGGCTAATAAATCAGCCTGAGGTAGCGAGCCAGCATCCCGGATGGTTACCGCATTTAACTTCTGCAGATCCTGAATCCACCTTAGCGTCTTGTTGGGCTTTCGAAAGACAAACCACCGGTTTGCGTATGGCGACGCCGTAGGTTCTGCGACGAAAGAGCCCATCATCGCTCGAAGAAGGTCTGTCACTTCCCCTGCTATCCCAAATTCATAGGACATACCCCTTGTCATTCCAGCACTCATGTTCTACCGTGTGGATTCTGACCGGAGGAATCAGCTTCGCGTCCAGCCGCCCCTTTTGGTGATCACTAAAGACAAATGCCAGGTGAAACTCTTGGCAGGTCTTTTTGATCAGGCGGTTTTCTTCTTCAGTTAGGAATCCGTCTACCCCTATCTTCATCGCATCTGCTACCTCATCTGATATCCGATGTGCTTCCGACGCTCTTCTCTCTTGGATCACTCGAAGGACTTTCTCTTCCTTCTCCATAGCCTCTTCCTTTGATGTCTCTAGCAGGATCGAGACCGGTTTTGTTTTCTTCCCTATTGGCTTGTACTTTCGAACACTTCCTTCCGGGATCTTTCTCCAAAAAAATGAACGGCCGGGATTGCCCTTGTCGCCTCTGCAATTCGTGGTTGGATACTAACTAACTTCCCATTCAGACAATATCCCTTTTGCACCTCTCCTTCGAATCTGGCCAGGGCGGCCGGGTCCACTCCTACCTTGTGGTATTTGAGGGCCTTGACGAGCTATAACAACTCGGGGATCTCGAATGTGACTTCTGACACGTCCACGCGTACTTCTTTCCGTCTGGGCAGGCTGACACCGAGTTCGAGTTCTGACTCCTTCTCTGCTACCATAACACCTAAGATTTCGTCCTCCTGCCTCCTCGTCTTCTGGGGCAGGCCCATTTTGATCCATTCCTTCTTGTTGAATGCCTCCTCAATCATAATTTCTACCCTCTCTCTCAAGCCCTCCATCTGTGCAAAACCCCCCTTTCGTGTGCTATCTTCGAACGACGGCGACCAAGTTGCCAACTTCCCCTTCGAAGGGTCTCCTCCCATCCCGAGGAGTCGGAGGAGCTCACCCCGGCCTGTCACTGGGTCTTCTATATCTACCATGTACGTGCCATCGTGTACTGCATGCCTGTCATTTCTACGTTTGCGCACAATGGCCTCCCGAGGATAATGTTGTGATCCACTTCCTCCATTACGGTCATTCGCTGAAACGACCAGATTGACTCCGTGATTCTTGCCTTGACTGCACATTTCGTGACATACCCCGCGAACGGAATCTCCCCACCGGCTCCCCGGATGCTCCCCGTTACTTCCTTATTTACCGTACAACCTGTGATTGTAGCGAAATCTCTTCTTATGAGAGTGATTTTTGCTCCCCCGTCTACTAATGTGTCGGTATGATGAGTTCCGATCTCAATCTTCAATTTTCCTACGAGTAGTGCATGGAAACTGAGCTTTGTCCCAGGAGGTGCCCTCATGACTTCGTCCCCTTCTCGGTCTGGCAGGCTCAAACGGATATCTGCAAAGGCTTTCTCAAGATCCTCTAAATCCTCACGACTCCTCTGAAGGTTAGCGACCTCTTGCGGGGCTTCTTCCTTCCTTTCTTCTTCACGTGCTTCGGGGTTCTCCTCTTTCCCTGCTCGCCGCCGATTCAACAGTTGTCTAAGCCCTTTGAGCAACCTAGGGTTAGCTTGCAGCATGGTCTGAAACGACACGGACACTATAGTTTCTAGTAACTTGTTAAGATCGAAATTTGATACCGAAACTTCTTCTTGACAACGGTAACCTTGTCCGCAGGCTCCTCTTCGCTAGGCTTCCCATAGACTTTTTCTGCCATTTCTGGTTCTCCGGTCTCAGGTTCTGCCTGGGGTACGGAGCTTCCAACAACCTCCTCCATCACGGTGTCACGGATAATCCTCCTCCCGGTCGTCCCTAACTGAATAGTCGCGTTCACCCTATCACGTCCGTCGTTTTCCAAAATGAAGTTGACATGCGACCCGCAGCCCCGAAGTTGATCGCAGATGATTTCGACCACCGGCTCAGCTTCTACGGCTGCTATCTCTAGCCCATTGAGCATGATAACGGTTCGCCACATCCCCCCTGGCGAGTTCCAATTTACCCGTTCTCCCTGTGGTCCGAATATCTCTCATTTTAATGACCTGGTACATCTCCTTTTTAATATATCATGGTTGAGTTTTGGACATACGCGCACATAATGTCCCATCGCGGTGCAGTACCTGCACTGCTCGTTAGCACGATCCCTCCGTCTGAACCCTCGATTGGCTACACCTGACGGAACTACGGCTTCCTCGGGAGGGAGGGCGGGTCGGAACACTTGCGCTTGCATAACCAGTAGCGCCCCGTCCATCCTTTCAATTTTGTTGTCGACTCCGTGCACCCGTTCATGTAGACTTTCAACCCCCTTCTTTACCTTGTCGCTTGTCCTACCGGTCAGATCTATGACCTCCCCTTCCTTAAGCAAGGTCAATGTCTCAGTCACTACTGTCTTTTCGGCCAGATCCATTACCGTACTGAAATCAACGTCCCTGGTGTTTACGAATTTGCTCGTCTATTGGTAAACCGATAGGATCTTGTCCTTGCCGAACTCGGAGAACTGCCCGAGGAAGTACTTACTCATTATTCGGTCCGTAACCCTGGGGATCCTTAGTGCTACCAAAGTAAACTCCCGTAGGAAGTCATTGTACGTCGCGAAGTTCTTCCTCTGGACTGCCGCTAAATCGGCCTCCGTCGCCATGTCCTCTGCTGCCAAATATTTTCTCATCATCACATCACGGGTTTCTTTCAAAGACCGGCTCGCGACCACAATGGCCATTATGTCCCGCCCTAGGCTCAGTGACACATGCTGTCCTAGGTGGTCCATCTTTTCTTCTTCGGTCCATTTCAGCAGCGTAGCCAGGTTCTTATAATCGATCAGGAACTCTGTGATGTTCGCCCCATCAAACATCAAGTTTTTCTTAGCGTCCGCTAGGTAGCCCTGGTTTTTGTTCAGTGCTCGCGCAAGGGATGATACTATCTTCCTAAGGTCGCCTTCGGAGCTACTGGCCTCTCCTGCCATACTGGTATCCGGCCCTTCCTTGCCGGCTTTCTGTTCCTCTCTGGTGTTCGCAGTTCCTTCTGGGTCGAACCATCCCAACACTCTTTCCCTAAGGCTCCAGAGTCCCTCACATCCTCGCGTGATTGTTGGTGTGGTCGGCAAGCGGCTAGCCCTATTATCTATGGCTGGTGGGTTCGTAACTTTCTCCGCTTCCATCCCGGGGGAGTTCTCTCTTTCTTTCCTCCTTTTGCTCGGAGTTCCCCCACGGTTACTACCCTTATCCCTTTGCCCAGTTCCGCCTCGGCCAGCCCTCCTTTCGTCCCGCGGTTCTTCCTGCAGAGGGCCTTCTTCGTTCCCAGTCATCATTTCCTCGATCAATCTTGCTTTGTACTCTGCGGTCCTCTTTTCTATTTCTGCTAGTTTGCGCCTCGCGTCCGTGACCCTTACTTTCTTAGACGCAGCTCCCTCTGAATTCCGGGGGCTTGTCCTATCCTTATTCCTTCCCTCCTTGGTTTCCTGAGTCCCTTGCCTGCTTCCCCCGACTTTCCCCGAGCTTTCGCCTGAGGAGATTTCCTTCCGGTTCCCTTTGGTACCATCTGGGTTTGCCGATTCCCTGTCTTTCTGCCCTTCTTCGCTCTGCACGACACTGCCTCCTAAGCCTGATCCTCCTTCACTCTTACGGTTATCCGTCTCATCCTCCGTTGCCATTTTGCCTAGTTCTGCATAAGCCAAAGAATTCTCAGAACACACGTAACGCGAAGCATTTAGGTTCCCTAGGTTTCCGGCTTCGTTGGCTTATCTTTATTCGGGAAATAGCCTTTTCCCTATCTCTGTTTCTTGATTGCTTCCCTAAAAAGGAGCCACGGCTGGCCCTGCTGCCCTGTCGAGTTAAGGGCGTGACTTAGTTTTCTTTATCACAGGCTCGTTTAGAGCGTCCTTGCCTCGTCGGGCCGGTGCATAGGAACCCGGGTTAGGCATCCTGCTAGGGAAAGTTTCCCGAGCAGTATTTCCCTTTCCGACCTTCAGGGTCATGACAACCATTAGGAGTCTACCCCCTTCTTTGTTTTCTAGCGGATTTTGATCATCCGGGTCCGAGGCCCCCTTCTTATTTCCATCGACGAACTTTTGTACGTAGCGGACTATACTCGATTTGCCCTTATTGGCCCGCCTGTAGGTGCTAGTCCCGTTCTCGCCCTCGCGGCCCTTCCGGTTTGGTAGGCTCCTCGAATAGTTCATCCACCCCCGCTAAATAACTTTTTCCTGTCTCGATTTCCTTCGGGTTATGCGTTCGCATCCCGCCCAGTCTAGCCATGGCGCCTTAAACATCAGGATGTGGATGACTTCCAGTAACTCGTGGGCCCTGTTTCCCCACAACGGTCCATGCTCCACAGCGACATCGTAGAACATCCCAATGGTCGGGGAGGGGAAGTGGTCTGACCAGACTATCGCCGAGTCTGCCAGCTCCTGCGCCCTCGCGAGGCTTTCGAAGACGAGGTCTATCATAAAACGGGGAACTCGGCACCTCAGCGGTGTGGTTGGTGCCCTGAATTCCCTCCAATGTCCCATTTCCATCCGGGTAAGTAAGTCCACGTTTCTTCTACCCCTGACTGATTGTCCTATCCGTGTCAACACCCGGGCCGCCCTCCGAAAGACGGGAGCCAGCTCGTAGCCTTGCGTTATTCCTATCCCCATGAAGTGCCACCCAGCCTCGGGTAGGTACAGGACCCCGGTTACCTCTAAACTGGAGAATAGATCATCCCCTGGTCCCGGATTGATTCTCATTCCTGTCCACCGACATTCTACCAACATGAAGGCGGTGTCTCGCCCCAAAGTTACGGCCCACCATTCTACGTCGACTCCCCGATAGTTGGAACTCGATGGGAGGGATACTTCCCACCGTCCGCCGTTATTCCAGGGCGGTCCGGGGTACCGGGGCTGGTGTTCCATTCACACGCGTCTTGCTGCCATTGTTGCCTTGGTGATTCCCTGCATAGTCCACATAGAAAGGGTTACAGCCAATTCTCAGTAAACGTCCACCTACTGCACCCTTTATCCTTCATGTTTTCATTTTTCTGCTTTGGTCCCAGCTATCCTTCCATGGCCCCGGGAGCAGCAACCTCTTCTGGCTGCTCGTACAAACGGTAAAGGTCATCTATGTAGGCCGCGCCCCGACCTACTTCCCGCCAGATGACTCTCCACATAGCCTCGTCACTTATTTGCGGAACTCCTGGCCTAGTATTTACTGCCGCTCATAGTATACAAAACACCTTGTGCCCCTTTTCGTCTTTAAAAGGCCCCATCTCTAGGAAGGCGCGATAGTATTCCTGATACATTAATGCTTCGTCAAATTCTAGCCTAGTTACGACAACTATCGCCTGCTCCACTCGCTCTATGCCCCCCAGTCGTCTTAGTAGAAAGGGTGCCAGACTCATTCGTACGACCTCATTTGGTAACTCAAAGGCCCCTGTTGCGGCGACTTTTACTTCAGCCGTTACGTCATCTCGTTCTGGATCCGGGAACTCAAACCCCTCCCGCCAGGTTATTTGCCATGCTCCTTCAAACATTCGAACGGGGTCATCCCCGGAAGCCAAGGCAATCCCAAAGGTCCGCCATCCTTCTTCCGACAGGTGTAGGGACCCTGTCGCGTGCATGCGCCCTTAGAGGTCCAAATTTATGCCTCCAAACTCTCTTCTCGCACGCCACTCCAACTCTACTACTAGGTATATCGTGTCTTCCACCAATTCTACCCCCACCCAGTCAATTACCGGGTTACTTACCACGTTTTTTGCTAGCAGGCTTATTTCGACCCTGCCCCCTGCTGCTCTTGGTGGTAGGATCCTGTGAGGACTGTCGTCCAAGAATGTCATTCGCCAGGCCATCCTGCAATGTCTCCTTTCCGACTTCCTTAATCCGATTGCTGCATCCACCGAGATTCCATGCCTTTTGTGCTTTAGTCTTTCAGCACTCCTTACCTATCGTACAGTGGTTCTTGCTGCCATCCCTGCTCCATACACGTACAAGTCTTCCTCCCCCTTTTGGTGTTGCTACCTTCCTTATTTCGATCCCCTCGTATCCCCTGCTAACTAATGTACACGCCTCCTTTTCTTATGCTACATCCCGATTCACCTGCACCCTCCATACTCCGACCTCCCTGCGGTGTCCGATTTTCGGGTCCCTCTAATCGAACAATAGTACCTCAAACAGCGTAAAGACATTGTCCACGTAGGACGGCGCGGCCGCTGCCTCCCGGCGTCCCAAGCTTCCGCGTCTACCTCTAGGCGGTCGTACTTACCTATCCTCAGGACGATGATGACTTCTTTGGCTTTATTGCCGTAGATAAACCCATATTTCAGAAAACGCTATAGAATTCCTCGGTCAGCCAGGCACATTCTATGTGTACCTCCTTCATGGAGTCGGCCACGTCTGCTATGTGCTCGAATTTCCTGAACCAGTCGTCCACGAACTCGGGCACCCACGCCGTTGTGCGCAGGTAGGGAGGCTTGAGTTCCCTCCATCCTCCCATCACAACCCTGCTACTAACTTCGTCCCACCTCTCGTTGGCGAACCTCTTGCCTTCTTTTCGGGTTCGCGCCTCAGCATTCCCTAGAAGCCACATTGGATCCTGTCCCATTACTAAAGTAGTGCAAAATAGGTGCCACCCATCTTCGGAAAGGACAATCATTCTGACCGACTTCACTTTGCCCTCTGCTATCTCGTCCCAACCTTCCTCTTCCCTTATTGGGTTCCAAATCCGTTCTATCCATACATATGATAATTCTCTGGCAACCTCAGACCCCACCCAGTCGCACGTGGTTCCCCTCCACTCGTTTTCCGTTGGTATAGGCATTTCTATCCCTCCCCTAAGTCGCCTTGGTTCCCATCCCTTGAAGGTGTATTCCATCATCATTTCCTCTCTAGTCATCTTTCCTCTTCCTGCACAACACCAGGCCACCCGTTCCCCCTGGGTCAAGTCACCCTCCTTAGAAGTCACAGTCCTCTATCTCATCATCTTCGTCCTCATCAGTGAAGTCATCCTCCTCGTCATAGAACAACTCTTTTACTCCCAGAAATGTCTCCCCTACTGCCACATTCCTATAGACTATCCCCAGTGCATGGAGCTAGCGACAAAAACATCGTCTACACTAAGGCAGTTTAGTACCTCGGTCAACTCGTCCGCTCAGTTCTCCTCAAACGGCCTCATTTCTACTGATAACCGAAAGAAGTCTTGCCTAGCACACTCGTATAGTCCGAGGTTCATCATGGACTGGCATATCCGTACTAGCCTGCTTTGGGTTCCGAAAACCGCATCCACCAGGAAGGGAGGCAGCACACATCGCATGGTCCTGACGGGTCGCCTCATGCTTCTTCTATCCCCAAGTTCCACCCGCACGTCTATCCTTTCCATTTCCATTTCCCTACGCTTACACGCAGCCCACACAACCTCCGCTTCTGCCTTCCTAAACAATTCGTCTGGCTTATTCCCGAGTGCCAATTCTATGACCATAGCATTCTCCCCATCCTGTGATAAGTAGACCCACCCCCGAGCTTCCACTGTTCCTCAGAATTCCAAATCCATTAAGCTTGGCGACAACCTTGTCAAGCTGACATTAGTCCATACTGTCTCTATCCAAAGAAACACGTCCTCCCCTTCCAGCATTGCCGTTTGATACGCTGGTTCAAGGTCCGTCCACGCTCCATCTTCCGGGAGGACGACCAATACCCCATCCTTTACATCTACTGGCATTTTCGGGCCGCTGGTATAGATCGGGGAAGACAACCATCGCGCCATCTTGTTTCAGCACCCGACCCTTGTTTTCATAAAAGAGTACCAACCGATCTTTCTGGTCAGGTCAACCCTTGTTCTATATGAGAATTATTTCAGACCCCTCATCAAGGTCTCCCTAATTTACCTGCCCATTCCTAAGTACCTCCTTCCCATAATACCCTTCCCCATATTCTTTCTCTTGGTTTCATTTCAGCTGACCTTTATCCTCCTTCCTTCCGATCGTCTCTCACTCGTGCGGACCTAGATGAGGGGGGGGAATAAACTTAGAAATATGCCTGTCCAACAATCCAAGTTCAATCACATACAAGCCGATCATCTCCTCACCGGCCATCCCCAGTATGGTCTCTCCGCTGGTACTATCGGTAGAGTTTTATCCCATACCTCAAGCGCACCTCAACCGTCGCGAGCGTGGTCCCCAGGCTCCGGCAAGGCGTTAGCCGTTTCCTTATACCCAGAATACCCCATCCCGTCTTGCCGCTCTTGCACATCCATACCGACACCGAGGGTTACCCCCTGTGCCTAAGTACAGGGACAAAAGTCTGTCGTCCGGGTATTCACTTCCATCGGTCCGATAAGAATCAGCCTTTCCCAAACCATGCTACGAGAAGCTACTAATCGTCTCCCAGGCTCCGTCTATGCCCGCATGTTGTGGTACTCCCCCGCCAGCCAACATGCTAAGCCCCGCCTAAGGAAACGTTTCGCACCCCGCCTGACAGATCATCGAGCCAAAGCCCGTCACCGCTCGAACGAGAATGCTACTAATCACCCGGCGTGACAAACTCCCGTCCGACAGCTCGGTGGCCTGACCTCCACACACGAACACACGGCAGCCTACAAAAAAGAACGACGTTTCTCAACCCACACTGGTCAGTGCAAACCAATCCTTTCCTTCCGAAAGGCAGGACGCTCGAATCCCATCATGCAAACACAAGTCTCAAGTGGGACACATAGAATACAAGTGCCTTCCCCTTGGTGCTCCCAGCACTTCCTACCCATAACTCACAATTTTCTCTCAAGACAAAGAGTGTTACTCCCCATACTTTCATACATAGTGGTTGGTTCATACAGAGTCTTCAAGGGTGAGCTAGTTTTCCTTGGAGTCTAGCAACTCCCTTCATTCCCTTTTTCTCCATTTGTCTGTCCTTTCATAGGGTGGGATTGTTCTTTCTTGATGACCCGTTGTGTTCATGTTGGTTCCTTCAAGCATTTCAAAAAAAGTGCAAAGTGCATGAGCTCACTGGGCTCAAAGAAGAAGGTAGAAGGGGCACCCGTCCGGTCGGATCAATCCGCCGCGGGATTTTCATCGGACCCCGGCCGAAGTCGAAGGCCAACCGCCTGCCAGGTAACCGGAGCCCTTCTTTCATATGAAGAGGAAGGGTCGACATGCGATTTGCCCAAAGCTTCCCCGGACGGTCGAGCACCAGCGTCGGACGAAAGGGGGCTAGAGCCATTCCACAAGGGAAAATTTGATCAAGTGCATAACATGCATGTTATACCTCCAGGTCTGGCCATGCCATGCGCCCATCCACTCTCAAATCTGATTTCTCACAAGGGAAAGAGCAAACACAAGTCCATTTTCCTTATCTTGGGTTGTGTACACGTCAACACGTCAAGCGCCCCCTTCGAAATCGCAAGGGTCAATTTAACCCTTACCCGGCGCCTCCACCATTTTTGTAGGGCCAAACCCCGGTAGACTTTCGAGCCTTAGTCGACCCCACTGAGAGTCCCAGTTGGCTCGGCCCGCCAACACTCATACTCAGGGCGCGGGCCATTCGTCCCAGGGTCACCCCCACCTACTGCTTTGAGATGGATGGGGTTTGGCCATCACACGAGAGAGCTTTGACATTGGGGATGTAGCTCAGCCCTCACGCCGGGTGGTAGTCTCTCTGGTCATTCCGTAGCGCTGATTTTTTTTTTTGATTCTTTGTTGTGTTACCAAGCAATTGCTCTTTCCAATACGCAGGCAGTCCAAGGGTTCTTTGAGAGTCGTTCTTCCTTTATGCGCAGGCTAAGCGTCATCCTCAGGCCGCACACCATTTCCCTAAACCTTGTGTACCTACGGCGTCATCGGGGTGCGGCGAAGCCGTCTTACCCCTTGCCTTTATGCCCCTGTTGAACCTCATGCATCTTAATCAACTTCATTGCCGCAAGCCCCTTAGTCTTTTCGGGGCCTTTACATGCATGCACACACAACATCACATTTTCCTTAACAAGATTGTACTTCATTCACATTCCCGATTCCAAACACAAAGGTCATTTCCATGACAAGCTTTATGCTAAGGGTCCCATAGCCTCTTTGTCCCTCTTCCCTTTCCCTCTTGGGGCCCGGTTCCTCCCGGCCCTATTCCGCTCAAGGCATCCTTTGCCATCAATCACCTGCACAATCCCACACAAGGCAAAGATCTATACAATCCCCCGTTGGGGGTCAACACATAGTTCTTCCCTCATGCCTATCTTTTCAAGTTCTTTGGCTTCTCTTCGTTCCAATCAGCCCATTCTCTTCTCGTAGTCATGCAGTCGGGGAAATGGTTGAGTCAAACTGACCTTGCTTACTATTTCACTTTCTCCAGACCTCGTCCTTCCTCACTCTCCCAACGTCCTTTTCCTTTGCCTCCTTGGTGGCACAAGGGACCGACTACCCTCCCCTTGCCCTCTTTCTCCACCAAGTGAGGTCTGATCTCTTCTTACAGTTCGCACCCTGGCAATGTACCAAGTGAGGGGAGTAGGGTTAGTTATATGCCAAGTGAGGGGAAGAGAGAGAGGGAAGCAAAGTGAACGAGGAGAGGAGTGATGGAGGGGAAGGAGAGAGAGAGAG